AGCGTGTACCTGAGAAGCACATATTTTGGCTAATGTCCTGTTGCATTCCCAAGCAGCAGGGAAGAAAGAACATGACAGTCACATTATCTGCTGAATCAGAAGTCTGCTCCTCTGATGAGGAGCACCACCAGGAACATTCAAACAAGAGTTGAAGGTTGAAGAAAATTTCTGCACAGCCACCCCATTGTAAAAGCTGTGTTGCGAGGGTAAAAGCAGAAATGCGGGGGCAATTTCTCCCTTGTTCTTTTCTGCTCTCTGTTGAGGTCAAAGCAGGAGATTTCTAGAGCAAAGGGCAGAGTGACTCAAGTGTACATGAAACTTTGCCGGGAAATTGTCTCAAGTCCCACAGTACTGACATCAGAGCACTTCACCCCGAGCACCGGGCCCAGCTCTGGCCCTCACACGCTCTGTGTGCAGGGCAGGGGCACTCGACTTGACTTTCAGTGGCCAGGTCAGGGATTATAGAGATGATGCAACCAGCCTCAGGGTGCACCACCAGTACTCAGCTTTGGCTAAAGGGCACCTGACAGAGCTGCATTAAGTCCAGACACTGCTGTGGACTTGCAGAGCACACAATAAATGAGGGCAAGTGGCAGCCCCCGTGGCTGCGTTTCCCTCTCACAGGAAGGGCAAGATCTTGCTGGGTGCTGCCAGCAAGAGCAGGGAGCAATGGGGTACCTGCAGCTGAGGGTGCTCAGAGCAGAAGCCCTGTATCACTTGCCCAACAATTGCCCCCATCATTCCCAGTGAAGCACATAGCGTGTGAGATAACATCAGCTGCAGGCAGCTGATGACAAGGTGAGTGTAGGTGTCTAAGAGGTTTTAAAAAAAACAACAGAGAAAGTTTGTTCTCATCCAAGCGGATTTCCTGGAGTGATGAGTGAGTCTGGCATGTTTCCACTCTACCTTTGGCATATGCCTGCACATCTGGCAGGCTGACACAACCTCATTAATTTCTAGTGAGAAAGGAGCAGTTGCCCTTAAAAATACTGTGTTAGAGCCTGCTCTGTCCCTGCCTCTGCTGCAGCAGCCCCTGGGCTTGTGGGGCAACTCAGTGGGAGGGAGCAGGGAAAAACTTACATCCATGGAGAGCATCTTGCTGCTGCCACCTTGGCATGCCATACCTCCTGTCTTCACTTGCTGCTTTGGGCCAAGCTGGATCCACAAGCAGATCCAGTAAGTCAGAGCCTTGGTAACCCCTCATATTCCCTTACTCATTTGTGGCTGTGACAGACACAAGCCCTTTGCCCTTTGCTCATCACCAGGCATCCTAATGGCTCTTCTTTGCTTTAACCACCTTGGAAAATGTTTTTTCTTTGTTTTAAATAAACGTAGGTCCTGACACTGAGCTAGCTGCTAGAACTATTTTAGGATGAGGATTACCAGGATTAGATAGCAGGAGAGTAAGTTGTATTATAGCTCTTTGCTGACAGCCCTGTTTAAAACCAAAATCTAGTTAGCTTGGAAACCATTCCACTCGCATAACCTCTGCATCCACAAGGCTTTCATTCCAGTTCGGTCCACCCGTGAGTAAGCCCTGACATCTGGTGGCCATACTCAAGCTTGGCAAGCTGGTAGCAAAACGTTCCCAGGATCAGTGTGGCAGGCCGTGATGGACACCAGGGGATAAAACAAGGGCTACATAATTACCTTGGCAGCTTTCTCCCTCACAGCTGCACACATGTGGCCGAGCCACTGGGAGAAGAAGGCAGCCTGGGGCAAACCTGCTGGCCTGGTCTCAGTTTAGGAAATCTGGGGTCAGCATGATTGAGAAAGGCATAAGCACCAGCTCTGTCTTTGACCCAGCATGGCTCCAGTGCAGAGCCAAGAAACCCAAGAGCAAGCTGTGTTCCTGATGTGGATGCTGTACTTGCCTTCCTCGGTCTCATCAGACAGCTCCTTGGTGTAAGACAGGGTATTTAGAATTCCCTGCCTTGCCTATAGCCCTGCTGCACCTGACAAGCTGTCAGGGGAGCTCTGGGAGTCCCTCTTTGGTGGTGAAACTCAGATGAAAGCCTTCCCACTCTGTGGAGTGTAGTCCTCTCGTGTTGCCTTAGATGCCCTCAAGCATCCCTTAGACTTTGGGAGCGCAGAGCCAGGCACAGACCCGTGCTGCTCTGCTCATTTTCATGGGGACATTTCATGACATAGCCAGGGACTTGCATAAGAGCCAGGCTGTTCTGCCCGTGTCTAAATGGAGGTGCAGCAAGAGAGGAGTCAGAAATGGCTCATGGCTGCAGCTAGGGCTGAGCTGTGAGCTGTGTGCTCAGTGCCAGCCCTGGCTGCTGGCTCTGCCCTGTCTGTCACGTAGCCTGGCCATCCATCTCAGCACAGAGATAGGATCTGGCTGCAGGGGCTGCCCCTGCTGACACGGCTGGGGGTGCCACTGTGCTGTGCCTCAGGTCTCCCCAGTCAGCAGGGCTAATTCATTTTTCTTAGTGCTGAGCTCATCTGTCACTTGCTGTCCCAGGGTTGCTCTGAGGCCACTCTGTAACACTAACCCTGGAGCACGTTTTTTCTCAAGGACCTTCCCCTGTGTAGAGGCACCAGCCTGAAGAGCCACATCCCTTCTTGATTGGCATTACTGATTGCAGTATTTCCCTGCAGTCAGGAGGGCTGGCTGCCCTGGGGTCTGGTACAACACGTGCTGCCTGCCAGCAGCGTTAATGACCCCTGACTGTCCCCTCCTTGCCCAGCAGTGACACTTTCAGCCTCAAGGCACAACACTGCACCAGTGGTATTTTCAGCCTTGGCCTGACCTTCACATCAGCCTCAGCAGATGCCATTGCAAAGCCATTGCATCACCATTTGCTCCCAGTAGGATGTTCTTTATCAAGAACAGTGTCATAAGGTTATTGGTTTCTTATAGAAGTGATAGGACATGATCACAAGCTTGTTCAGACCCCGTTCTTGTTTCTGAAATGTCATTTCAAATAAACGTCACATTGTAGCAGCTGCTTCATGGAGAAAAGGAGCTGGATATGTACAGTAAAATCCAGAGCCTGCACAGTGGAGCTATAAAATGAGCAAAGAGCAGCTTAGAAGTACCACAACTACATGTCCAGTGACAGATTGACCACCTGCCTGCACAGAGAGGGCCTGTGGATTTTCAAAGGTTATTTTAGCTGGATCAGCATCCCAGGTGGGCATGGGGACTCGAGCCGTAGGAACCACTTCCCCACAGCCATTCCTGCAAAGGGACACTTTGAGGCTGCCATGCGGGTGTGAGGTACAAATGAGCCAAGAGGCACAGCAGAGTCACACCATCAGGAACAGCTGAGAGGGGCAGTGAGCAAATTAGCAATCTATTGCAATTCTCTTTCCACAGCAGAGTTTGGCTTTAGAAGCAAAGTGCAAACCTGGCCCCTCACAGGGGCTCTGCTCTTGTTCAATGGCAGTTTGTCCTTCTGCTGCTGTCCATCTGCACCTAAATTCAGAAAGCTGGTGTAACCCACTTAGCATTCTATTTAAAGGAGGTGCTGCTTGCTGAACACTTGGGCACTCATGAGTAACAGAAGGAAAGATCCTGATTCTCCTCCAGGTCTCTCAGGGGCTAAGGGAGCAACCCTGCGATGGGACAATGGCAAATGACACTGCAGGCAGTACAGGGGCCCTTCACCTATCCCAAGAGATGTTTGCCAGCATTAAATCCCTCTCACCTCCTGGCCACTCACGGCACTGACAGCTGTCCCAAGGGCTGTTTTGAGTAGCTGTGTTCCACAGACCCCCACACCTGCCTCACCCAAGTGTCACACAGGCCAGGGCTGATTGCTTGGCAACCAGTTTCCCCCTCAATTAGTGTCTCTCCCCATTCAAACTTCTCCTCATTCCTATAGTTTAAAGAAAGGCAGACAATCTTTCTAGCAAAGTATTCACAAAAAGAAATATCTCTTAGGCTTGTATGCACTGCTGAACCCTCTGTTGAAAATAAATTCTAGGAGAAACTTCACACGAATGAAGAGGGTTTGGCAGTTTTTGAGCTCACAGGAGACCAGCAGCTGGCAGAAGTTAATTTGGTCCAGAAAACAGTGTAGTGCCTGTCTTAAAGAAATGACAAAGCCCTCCCGTGTTCAGACCATGCAGCACACGACTGCTCCTGGAATCCCATCATGGAAAGGGTGGACATGAAGGGACCCACAGTGCCTGGTCTGGACATACTGCATAAGGCCCCAGCTCTGCCCTTAGCACATCTTCATCAGAGGTACTTGCTCCTACTCTTGTCTCCTGGTGCTCTCTGCAGCTCAGCACCTCCTTCTGTTTCTCTCTATGTGCATACATGCAACAGGAAAAGGAAAAATCTGTGATGGATTTCCTTTCTTGCTGGCAGCAGCTGCTTGCTTTGACAGAGCCCATGCAAGGGATCCAAATGCTGTGCAGAGTGAGGAAAAGCCCCCTGTGCTAATGATAGCCCAGTCACAACAGGACAAGAAAAGATTCCAAAGAACTAAGAATAAATCTGGTTTTCCTGACACAGCCAAGAATGCAGACAAGTGTATACCTCCATTTGACAGTAACACAGTTATCACCAGACATGTCTACTACCAGCAGGAAGACAGATCACTAGAATGGTGCAATGAAATAATCCACAAAACAGGTTTTCTAATTGGGAAAGGCACTTCAAACAGGCTTTTTTAGAACCTGTTTCAAACCAGTTTGTCTGTCTGCCGAACTCCCTACCCCCACCTCATTATCTCTTCCTTCCTTTCTTGCAATTTTAAACATTTTGAAGTTGCATCCAAAAGAAAGAATTCCCTAAGCATAACACTGCAGAGGATGGCAACAAAAAATACATTGCAGAGTGCCACCTTTTGGGAGGAGTCCAGGCCTGGCTGCCAGATTAACCAGTGCCCTTCAGGTAAGGCCAGAGCAGCACTCAAATGCCTTTTGCTTCATAAACAGTATGTGGTGTATTACTACCTTAATCCACCAGGGTAAACTCATTGTAGATGCTCTTATGCCTATTAAAATATATGTTTTTAAGTTAGGACAGGAGAATTAAATGAGGATAAAGTAGACACACTCTCTTTATTACAAAAAGAAAAAAAAGAATTTGATGCATTTATCATTCTGTTTTCTTTTAAAATTTAATCTTTTATTTACTCATAAAGAGCCAATAAGTTATATAAATCAGAGTAGTTTTCATTTCCTTACTGAAGTAGTCAATAAGATTTTAACTTGGACTTATGCTGACCCAGTAGCACTCTAGCTCTTTGAGCATACTGGTCTTTGTTTTCCACAGCAATTCCTCACCCCAAGGCTACATTTCTTGCACAGCTTCCAATGAAAACTCTGCCATGGTGTTAGCAGAGCACTGTGGCTCCCCGGGAGGGAGCAAGTGCAGCCAAGGCAGTGTCCAGGCACACACCTGAGTGCAGGGCCCCTGGCACCCCCAGAGCCAGACTCCGGGCTGGCAGAGGCCACCCCAACCTTTCTGCCTCCCACTGCTCTTGAGAGGAAGCCATAAACTACACTGAAGCTCCATGCTGAAGGCAGGGGGAATGACTCCATGTGAGAGATGTTAAACCAAATACTTTTGTATTTAATTATGTTAAGAGCTCAAGGAAGTTAAAACCATAGACAAACGCACAGAACCATCAATGACAATGAACCAAGGCAGCAACATTGTCATTCCCTGCTTTAAACAGTGTCTGAAACAACTTCTAAACAAGTACAACCTGGGATATTCATGTAGAACTGAAACTGTGATTGTTTGCTTTACCTAGTACAAAGGATTTTCCAACACTTGAGTAACTTATAACTAGGCCCATGGTTGTCATTTCCCCATCTGCTTCCCATAAGCAGATGTTTTCCTTTGTACACCAGGAATAGATTTTTCCCCAAAAACAATGCAATCTAGTTTTCATGGTAACAAACAGCATTCTCATCTTGTTCCTCTTCATCTCCATCCTCATCTTCATCCCCTTGATCTCCAGACTCAGTATCATCTTCATCTTCAACCTGAAATACAAGATCTATTGTGAGCAGTAACATCACTAATTCTTATCCAACCTTTTCAAGGCAAGACAAATGCTGAGTGCAAATAAACTTAAAGATAACCTAAAATAACTATGCCACATCAATTAATGCTTATTAAATGCAACTGTAATCTTGCAATGTCCATAGTTCCTTACTTCTCTGCTGAATAGAGAAGTGGCTGATCACTGGGGACAACAGGCAATGGTCAACTCTCAGTGCTGGCTGCCAGAAGTTGTTGAAAAACTGATAGATTTAACTACCCTCTATAGAAAGGGGCCTCACCCAACTTTCTGGATTGAGGATTACCATGCCCAGGCCTGTGTCAGACTCAAGAACTCACTGGATCCATTCCTTCGCTTACCGCTACACCAAAGTCCTTCAGTTTCATCTTCTGGGCAGATATTGTCTGATCCTGGTCAGCCAAAAGCACCAGGAGATCATCCTGTTCCTTCTTGGATTCTGCAAGTTCTCGCTGCAGCTTAGTGTTCTTCTCTTGCAATATAGCAACCGTGCTAGTGGATGAGTCCAGCTGCTGCTTCAGTGCTTCCTTCTCCTCAGAAAGGGATTTGACTTGATTCTGGCAACAGGAAAATCCCACATCAAATTACAATATAAGCATAGGTAAAACTGAAGGCCTGTATCCTTCAAACACATCCTACACACAACCTTTAGCAGCTCCAGCCCACTGTTGGTTCCTGTGGCCTTGTTCCCACACATCCTTACACAAACTATAACAGCTTGGATAAAGCAGCAACAAATATAAACAGTGGTTACCTTCCTCTCAAACTGGACCGTCTGTGTCACAGTAAAGCCACAGCTTAAATTGTCCTTACCAAGGCCTTAAAGACAGACAAATTTCTATTTCCCAGGTGAAAAATGACGGAGACAACCAGCTTCCCTTCCAGAGCCTGAAACACTGAGGATGCTGAGGAAACAAACCACTTCCACCAGCCCTGGCTACTGCAGAGGCCTCCTAACTGAAAGCTGAGTATCCAATGGCTTGGTTTGGTGTCCACCCACTACCTACCTTCAGCTCTTTGATTTCTTGCTCCAGTCGTCCGTCCAATTCTGAGCTTGTTGCTGCTGTTGCACCACTGTCTCCTAACAGGGGATCTGCAGCTGCATTCTGTGGACAAGGAATTCCCCCTCAGTGTTGCACATACTATGACAGCAAGCTGAGACATTCCACAGACATTTTTTTCAAAGCATATTCTCTTTTTACAGCACAGCCAAGGTATGGTGAGGACATACACCCCATGCTGCAAGGCATCAGCAAACACATGTGTGCTTCCTCAGGTCTCAGACTCATACACACATGTACACACCAAGAAGACAAAGCAACACCTTTATTTCATAGCAGATGCACTTGAAAGACTTGCAGGTTTTTTTCTAGGCAGACCCTATTACAGGCAACCCACCTTTGCTCTGATACTTTTCAAGTGACCCAGAAGTCTTTTTATTAGGCTAAAGATCCAATTTATTAGGCTAAAGCTCCAATGCTTTGCATAAGGCTACTAAAAATAGCAACAGCTGCATCTCAGTCAGCCCTACACAAAGTTATTTCCAAAATGTGACAGCTGCCTGTCAGATACAACTGCCACATGGCACAAATTTGAGATCAATGCCTCTCCAGTTGGAGCACACTTAAACCAGCCCTCCAAGGAAGGGAGGCAGTAGGGTGTAGGGTGGCCTGACAGCTGGAGGGACACCAGGACACACCTCTGCCTCCAAAGGCATCATCACAAGCACACATGGCCAGCACATGTGCCATGGCATCTTCCCTCCCAGCAGCTGAGTCTGCCTCTCCCAGACTGTGTGCACATTGAACCCTTGTTTGTCAGCTGGTTCTGGGGCCCCTGTTCCTGCAGCATGATTCATTTGTTAGCTCTGCTCTGGAAGTGTCTGGAACATCTTCAGACAACTTGTTCAGGTTCTGCAGCCCAACATGGCCTTTCTAAAGTAGTTTATTAGTTTTGAAGACAGTCATATTTATATAGCCACAAGGCTTTACTGCTTCATTAGTTCAGTACACAGACAAAAAAAAAAAACCTCTGCAGCATTTGGAGGCCTGCACAGACAGATGCCCCTATCATTTGCCCTTGAACTAGACATCAACTTTCAAATCACTACCCTCAACTGCTTGTAAGAATAATGATCTCTCTCACATGTATGATATCACACTTCGTATCTCACAAAGGCTATTTCATTTAATTAGAGCATAAGCTTGGAACAGCCAGTTTATAATTGTTTAAAAATGCCAAGGACCAGTGCCATCAGAGAGAACTAACTTGACTAAAAGTCCCTTCTATGCTCATGAAGGATTTGTCTGGGTAACTCATGACTTAATTTAAAACCCTGCTGGAATCACTTGCCAATGAGTGCACTTAAAAGGAGCTTGGTTTAGGAAGGTAGCTACAGGCAGTAGCAGGAAGGCAAGTCTTGAAGATTTAGTTCCCATAGATAGAAGAAAGAACTAATTCACCAGTACCATCATTTGTAGCTTTTGATTCTCCATCTGAAGCTTAGAGATTTCCGCAGACTGTAGTTGTATCTGACTCCTGAGCATTTCTAACTCCTTTGGGAAACAGAGAAAACTTTTCAGTTCATTTGATAAAACAGCACATTCACATGAAATTTTCCTGAGGTTAAATGCTCCCAGACTAACTGCTTCATACTAGCAAATGTAACAGGAAAGCTGCCTCTCAATGAGACCACAACAGCTCTTTCCTGCAATGACAAGGCTTGATAGCAACATGCACCACTGTCCACCCTGCTCTTATAAACCCTCTTCTGTAGAATGCCCAAGCAAGGCACCTGTCTGAGCCTCAGTCACTTATAAAGGTGATTCATACCACTTGCATTCCCAAAGATTCCTGATGAAAAAGAGCAACACATTCAGGAATCAATGATCCTCCCTGAGGAGTAAATCTCCCTTCCCATCCCAAGCTACCCCCGTTCAGCTATGCTTAAATACCACAAGTTCACCTTCTGGAGCTCATTACTGTGCTCCAAGCCACCAAATCTGCTGGTCTGTAAAGACTGCTCTGTAGCTCCCATTTCCAACTGGGAAGAATTCTGAAAGAGAAATGGGAAAAAAAATCAGTTTTAGTACTAGAACTCCAAAGGTAGTCACATTGTCAAAAAACTCACAGCTGTTCTTGTATTACCAAATTCCCAGCAGAGAAGTGGCAAGCAGGCTGAGCAATGCACATCAAAGCTCTCTGATGAGAGCAGCTGGTTGTGTCCTCTGTGGTGGGTGCAGAAGGACCTTTCACCAGTGCAAATGCAGCACTTACCAATTTTTCTATCACAGAATCCTTTTCCTTTAACTGCCCTTGCAGCAGCTCATGCTTGTTTTTCCACTCTTCCAGTTCCTCTCTCAGTTTGCTCACTTCTTCTGTCTGAATGCCATTCATCTGCAATGTGTCACCATGGGAATTATGATGCTGGGTGTCCTTTCCTAAACAGCAAGAGGTTACAACCAAGGTCAAATAAGCAGTTCCATAACTTGGTTTCCTGCAGACCAATCTAAGTACTTGTTACCCACAAGCCCTTCTCATTCTAACTAAAGGAGCACAGTACTTAAGAATTCTCTACATATAAAACAAAATCAACAAAGAAGAGCTCTCATTTGCCATTCCTTCAGGTCTATGTGCTGCCAACTGCTTCAGCCATTCTCTTCATCCAAAATAACAGCATGGACAAATTCTGAAGGTAATTGATTCCTTACATGTTTTTAATCATAAGTACCATGAAGTACTTATCATAAGTAATCATGAAGGCAGTTTGGGTATTTTTAATCATGTCATGTATACCTTATCAGGCCTTTTGACTCTGGGATAAGAAGAACATGCTGCCCTGATTTACACACTAAATTTGCAATTTCCCTAGTGATAATAATAGGCTGCATCTTGCACACCAGCCAGACCATATTCCCCAGTTCACACTTGCATTCCAGACTCAAACTTCAGCCCACTCCAGGGCCCATCTGGTCATGTTCTGAACCTGGACAGGCAGTAACTGGTTTGGATTGACTTGACCCAAGGCAGAGGCAGCCTCTCCAGGCAGTCAGCAGCTCCCACAGCAAGTGTGAGCTCTTACACCCACAAGGCTTTCTCGGCTGGAGCTCTGGCCGGAAGCCACAACATCTTGGCACAAGCAAGATGATTTTACATTGTCACTCATGAAGCCTACCCAGCTGTACTTTCAGGAGATTATACTGGTCCTTATGCTGTTGGATCTGAGACACTTGCTGTGTGACTGTAGCCTGGAGCTGTTCATTTTGAGATGTTAAAGTGTTGATTCGTTGTTTTAGTTCTTCAAGCTCCTGGTCCTGTAAAAGAAAAAAAACCCACCATACTATATACATACAGTAGTCATTTATATAGTTATACTATTAACTCTGGAATACAATTCTGCCAGGAAACTGAAGGAAAGCAGCAAAACCTGAGCTCCACCACTCGGTGCTACCCAGGACAGATAAGCAGGAAAGCCTCCTGCAAACCTATCTAACTATGCCTAGGCAAAGTCAGCAACAGCCTGTCATACCAATAACAGGAGAAAGGGAAAGGTGGGAAATTTGCTGATTGTAACTTTTATCTAACATATTAAAGCTTGCATTTGTTTTCTCTACTGCTTCAGGAGTCTTCAAAGAAATCATGCTAACTACAGACATCACATGTTCATTAAAGCCTCTGGTAGTACCAAAGCATCCCTAATGCCTCACATAGCCCATGCTTTGATCTCTGAACAAAGAACACCTGCTTCAGTTTCCTATTAGCCATTTAATTAGCTCTGTTCCTCGACTTCTCCATCTGAGCTGCAGCAACCATACAAGTTCACTACCCCTGGAAAAAGGTTTTTAGAGTCCAATTCCAGCAGCTACAGCCAAACTTCACCAACAAACCTTTTTTTCATTCAGCCCCATTTTCATGTGTCCAAGTGAGAGCCCAGAACTAAGAACTGTATCTCTTATCTCAAGGACTGCAAGTTCTCCAGTTCCTCATTTGAAATGAAAACACTCCAACACAGGTAGGAGCGTGTGGCCCAAGAGAAAGTAAAGAAAGATCTGAACCAGTGTTCCAAACAGTGGCATTTCAGCTGAATCTTGACATGAGTGTTGTTAAAAGGATTTCTGCATTGCTAAATTCCCTGTTACTTGTTTTGGAACAAGGGGGATCAAAGTGCACCACAGTGCCTCCAAAGACAAAACTGACTGCTTTTAGAGGCACATGTATGTGCTCCCTCTTACCTGCTCTCTAATGACTTTTTTGTAGTGAGTCACAATGTTGTCATGCTGTTCCAGTGTCTTCTTGACCTCCTCTTCCTTTTTATCTTCCTCGCTGGACTTGTAAATTGCTTTACTTATGACACCTGTCAAAAACAGTTTGTCAGCTAGAGCCCAGTTCACATCTTTGACCTCAAAACAGTCTCACAGTTTGAGTTCATTGCATTACAAACTCAACCTGCACATTAACAAAGGGATTGTCACAGATTTAATAGAAATGGTGACTTGATTTCAGTTGACACATTTACTGCTTTCCTCTGTTCCAGGTAAGTAAATGGGTGTTTTGAGTAATTCATATGAAAAAAGCAGTGTTCTACTTGCACTACGGCTCCACTACACTGCAGCCCAAATCATTCTGTGAATAAGTTAAAGACTTAGGACTGCAAGAGCAACAGGCAGATGAAACTGCTTGGGCAAACCCATCTTTATGGTTTTATCTTGTTCCAGACTGATTTAAATTCACTGCAATATTAATAAACAGGACACCAGTTAGATGTTAGACTGATGACAAGTAGTGAAGCACACACTAAAGCAAGTGTCCATTTCCTAACAAGCCAAGAATTTCAGCATTCACCTTTTTTAACTTACCAATTAGAAACAGCAACTATCTGGATTATGTACTTCAAAAAATGAAGCTTCTATGACCATTGTATGTGCTCAGTACTTGAGTTTCTGTGTCAGCACAGGTAAACACCTCTTGGACAGTGTAACAACTCACAAAATCTATTGATCATCATTTCACTGCAGAATACCAGGTAATCCAGTTAGAATATCTAGTTAACACTTAAACTGCAACTTGGGTATGTGATTACTTACAGCTATTTACCATAACCTTTAGTGTCATCACACTACTTTCAAGAGTAACACAACATGTTTGGCTACCAAACTGATGGATGAGCTACTCATCCATCAGTTTATGACAAAAACTAGAGAAATGAGTTTAACATCTCACCTTCCAATTCCTTTACCAGCTTTGTAAATTCATGGTCAAACATCATGTGGTCTGGACTAGAGAAACTAGGCTGTGGTTTCTGAGCAGCTCTGGAATAAAGTTCATGTTTGCTAATGAAGCCAAGCTTCTCAATGAAGTTCTCCCTGCCAATCCTCTTCTCAATCAGCTGCTTCAGTTTCTCTCTACAAGGAGCAGACAAATCAATGCCAGTGCAGTAACAGGACAAGAAGAGAACCCATCATTCCATCAAGGTGGGTTCTGCAAACACAACTCTTATTATCTGTCTCAAGTCTTAATCCCACTGCTGTGCCATTTCAAAGCCTCTTGAACCACCACTTGCCTTTCACAGAACCTTTCCCTACAGTCCTGTTACTTCTCTCATACTTACTTCCTGTAATTCTCAAGGGAATTGTCATTGTAGTAGATGGAAATGCCAAGCAAAAGTGCACACAGGCCTTGGACAAGCTGCTCCTCTTCTCCAAGGTTTTCAGCTATCTGCCCTGTGAGCTGGAACTCTTGATAAGGATATTGGAGATATTTCACCATTACAACACATGTATCACTTCTCCCTGTACACAATCCCTTGAATTTACACACAAACCCAAGCTTGTTTAGGAAGCAAGACTAAAGAGGTGACCAAACCCTTGCAAAGTTAACTCCTATTTTGAAGGACTCAGGTGATCAGTGGTTTCCCATAAATTTCTCAGTAGCTGTCTGTTTAACCTGAGATATTTACTTGCTCCAGAGCACACCTACAGTGTAGATAAAGGTGCCAGTTTAGCTTTATGTGCTCAGGCATTTGACTAGTTTTTTCCTGAAAAGCAAGCAGAGAAGTTAACAGAATTACAAAGCATTCTTTTTGCCTCTTGAGTGTAAGTTTAATTCACACTAAATACTAACAGGCTTGTTGCTCTAAAAATTCACTTGGCTGGCAGACTGAGACAGTTTTCAAAACTACTTAGGTATGTGCATCTTACACACAAGTCAGTGTATGCAGAGTGCTGGCAGCTAAAAGGTGAGTTTGTCTCTTGCCCCAATGCATTTTCTGTTTTGCAGAATCCCCATAAAGTGATCCAGACAAACATTTAACTTGAACACGAATAACCCAGCTCGTGGCTAAGCAGGGGGTTCCACTCTGCAAGCAGGTCAAAGGATACAAAAGGCACATTGGCTGGATTGTGAAGGAAGTGGGTGACAGCAATGGAGCAGTTGCTCAGCCAAGTACAAAGCAACATCAGTAGTCCAACTCTGGTCTGTACTTTGCTGCCCTGTGAAGAATGAACACCCCTATCATTACCTTTCCACAGAGAGGACTAAAATACAAACCCAAGCGGTATTGGATCAGAACTCACCTACTTCCACCTTATTTTTTCATAAACTGCAAGTCACGTCTTTCCAAACACCAATTTGTTAGTTATACTGAACAGCTTTAATGCTTGGATAAAACAAGGATCAAACCATTCACGTTGAACTGTCCTCAGAGCAAACTAGCAAGCCACACAGATGTGAAATATTACTCAATGCAAATCAGCACCAATATAAAATCATAACGTGTTAGTTCTGCATTTTTAATACAAGGGTGACATGAAGGAACATACACAAAGCCCCCTTGAAAAAAAGGGAACAAGGTCTATATTAAGTGACATAATGATTCCCTGGAAAAGATGTATCACCAAGACATACCCTGCTGACTTAAAACTGCCAGGTGTTCCTAGTATTATCTTCTGAGTAAAGAACAATAAACCTGTAATGGCATTTGGTTCAAACAATATGCACATTAAGCCAGCAAGCCAAATGCTAACTGCAGCCTTTTATTTATCCTAGACAGACAAATTTAGTTTTCATCTCCAAATCAACTGTTGCTAATTGTGTCTCAGCTGCAAGTATTTGGGCCCAGCTGAGCTAAGACAAGCACCCATCTCTTCCAACAGTCAACATACAGATGGCAACCAAGGAAAGTGTTCCCTCCCTCACTTACCAACACTGGCTCTAAGTGTCCCAGCAGGATTTGCCAGCCCATGCACATTGGGAATAACTCCTGTAACTGGCAGTGCCCCTGTGGCACGTGGCTGTACCTCAGCCTTCTCCAGCCTTGGTACCAGTGGCCCTTCCCTCCTGAGAAACATGGAGTTACTTCTGCTTGTGCAGCCCAACACTTGAGCACACCCACATGCTGGACGCAGCTGCAAACCACATTTATTCTCAAGCACTGCCTGCTATTCAGAGGTCAAACTGATGTGCTCTGCCTAAGGATTTTCACACAGCCCAAAATATTCTCTCTAAAAACTAGCTATTTTCTAGACATACCATGATAATAACACCTACTCTGACAGAAGAGAGCTCCCCATGGCTGCTGTTCCACAGTTCAGAGCTGGTAACCACGCTCAGCTGTGATCAACAGGGTAAAACACAACTCCACAGCAGAAATACTTTTTTTTTGTGCCACCAATAACCAACTCAGCTGTGTTTTAATTAATAGCCTGGAAACCAAACAACTCTGCAGGGATCATCTGCTCATAAAAGATCCCTGCTATTCACAATTAGGCAGGCTAACTGGTTTTTCCTCTAGCAGTCAGGACATGAGCAGCATATCCCCACTTCTCATGGTACCACCGTTTACTACAGGCCCTTCAGAAAACACCATTCCTAACAGCTGTAGTTTTCCTTAGAAGAAATCCCAACTATTATGTGAACAGATGGTCCATTAGTCTGCCCCCCAAGAAAGAAAGCACCCGTGTTGCCCAAGATACATATCCCATAGTTTTGGGAGCACCCCCAGAGATTCCCCTGGAGGCACCAAGAGTTTGTTATGCCAGGGAAAACCCAAACCACTGCAACACAAAGCTGTAAGTGGAAACACATCAAAAAGCAGTTAAAGCAATTCTCCCCAGCAGACCCCAGACAAGAGGAAAAGGCCTGCCTTTGGCAGGAAAATGCACAAGCTGTGCCAAAAAATACATACCCGTCTGTCGATCTTATCACCCTGCAAGTTACACACATATTACTTGAGAACCTTCAAGTGAAACATTTCAGAAACATCCCCCCATATCCGAGTCCCTTTTGTCATGTAGTGCTGAACAATCACAAGCATTTTTACTGGCTCAAATTTACCTTACCACAGGCATTCCAGGAATAGGATCAAAATGAATACTGGCTATTTTTGGCTAAAGCAGGAGAAAAGTCATAGGAACAAGTTCTAAATTCCAGACATTACTTTCACTTGCAGCAAAATCTAATTGCCATCAGAGTTAACCAACTCCCTGCTAGCAGGCTTTTTCCTTAAATGGTTCCAACACAAGGAGGCGTGGGCCAGGAGGTGAACTCCACTCACTTGACATTCACCAAGCCTGGTATTAACATGTTGAACAAGCTCAAAAAGGTTTCATCTTTGCATGGCAAAGCCAGCCATCAGTACATGACAGCCTGTTTTTTTCATTATGCTTCCAGTTAGCAGGTTCAGTTTAAATACCAAACAGGCACTTCTTCAGCAAAAAACATGAGTGGGGATTCTGCCACTTAGCTTTGTCCTTTAAACCAGGTCTAAGACCTGGACGCTTTGGGGCCACCTGAGAAGAGGCAGCATCAAGAAGCAATCTGATTGCAAAGCAAGATTTGCTGCTATTCTCCTCCCCTCAAAGGAGCTTTAAACAACAGCCTGACAAAGAGAATTCTTATCAAGCCAACACTTGTGTCCCCACCATGGCCCTGCCCAGGAGGGACGCTGCCCCCCACACACGGAGCCGCAGCGGGGCAGGCGGTGCCGTACCTGCGAGAGGATGTTGGTGCACTGCTGCAGCAGCGACACGGGCGGGTTGCCGATGCTGGTGGCCAGCTGGACCCGCAGCAGCTGCTCCTTGAGCGTGGCATTCTCCTGCAGGGCGTGGGCCAGGGCCACGGCAGCACACCAGTTGGACAGCGAGTCCGTGGAGAAGAGGCCCCCGCAGAGCAGCTGACCCGCCGAGACAGAGTTACCTGTAGCTACCAGAGCGGCCAAGAGGTACGAGGGAGATTAAAGTAAGCCACAGAACAGGCAAAATATTTCAGACAATACAGCTAAAACACAGAAAAAACTAACTAAGGATGTTTTTGACAAATCTAAGCCCAGCCACTCTGCCCAGGGCAGTCACTGAACAGCAGGTAAATAATTTCTCATGAAACACAGAGTGGTGCACTGAGCAGGTGCTAGCTCAGAACCCATTGCAGAAATGGTGCCCTTGCCTACCGTCAATAGTGGATGGCAGGAGCGTCGAGACAATTTCTCCTTGTCCTTTTTGGTTTTTGTACAGAAAGCACTGAAAACAGTAGAGAACAGCACAGCGGAGCACAAACGGCTGCCTCTCGTTTACCATGGACATGAGCAGCACTACGATTGCAGGCCTGTTGGGAAAGGAAGGAAAAGCAGAGAACTAAGAGCAAGGACAAGGTGAGAACTGAACTGTGAATGAAAACAGCTGCAAGTACGTAATATGGATCTATTTCAAGGGTAAGGAAAGATACTGTGGCCTACCACTGCATCTATTACTATTTCACACAAGCGTATTAAAACCCTAGGTGTTAAAAGTTTTTCAGTTATTTATACACAAAAAATGAGATTGATCATCCATTTCCCTTGCCTCTAAGTCCTCTTCGGACTATCCTCTGGCTAACAGCAACAGCAGCTCATCCTGATCAAGGAATTTTTCAGTCACTGCTCATTTGTTTTTCAAGTGCCAAGTAACACCAGTTCTAGGCCTCATCTCTCTGCAAACACACCTGACACCTTAATACTGTAACCAACACACCCTACATGAACTTGAAGCTGTTACTCCAGATCATAACTCCAAGTGTGGAATCAAAAAAATCTTTTGGATTGCCCATACCAATACCTTATCACCTAACAGAGTTAGAACACCTTTCTTGCTCTACCTTGGTGGACTAGAAGGTGCATTTACAGAGGCAAAGTAGTCTTGATTTGTCTGGCATCCTCGGATGACCTCCGACACAGTATTAATGGTCTAGGGAAAGGGCAGAGAAGAAAGTTAAATCCATGTTTAAATCTAGGTCTACCACCTAGATCTTCCAAAACTATTCCAGTTTACCCTGACAGTTCAGTACTGACAAGCACATACAAAGTCTCAGCGCAGAGACTTCAGTAAAACCAGTGTGCATGAAATCAAGGCATTTAACAGCTGTAAAAGATACTGAGCAAAGCTTAAGGGACACAAAGCTCAGACACCTCCAGCTTCATTTTGTATGCCAGATCAGTTTTTCTATGACAGCAAAATAACAGCTAAACTGCACGTCTTTAAAAAGTGAAAAGGTGAAACTCTGTAAGAAATTAACAACTGGAACAGAGGAGTCCACACTCAATCCAAGCACATGCTTTTATCAAGGGAAAAATCCCTCACCCTCCATTGCTGGCAGGGCTTTCTACAAGCTAAAATCCCTCATCACTGGAAACCTATCAAATTAGAATATCTGTAGACTCTCCCAAAAAATAAAAACAGCAATTAACCCACCCCCAAACCTAGAAAAGTCATTAATCAATTCAGCTGCTCTGGGATATGCTGAAATCTAAAGGAAAAAATATAGGCTAACCCAAATTCCTTCTGGTAGCAAAACACCAGAAATTGACCAGCATAAATGACTTTGCCCATGCAGGAAGCTGACACCTCTAGCATTTCCAACAGGTACTTTGCAAATACTCAGTCTCTGCAGCAGCTGGTTTTCCCTGCAGACTGCTGTTATCACCCATCTGGTCATTCCCACCCCTCCATCCACTGCCCCCTTACTTCCGTGAGGATATCGGCAGGAACGCCGGTTGCCATGAGGATGGTGCAGAGCTGCTGCAGGAGCCCACAGTGGAACATGGCCTTCTGACAGCTGCTGGTGGCACCAGGAGGGTTCGTGGGGGACACCAGGACCCGCACAAGCTACAGAGGAGGAAACATGGCCATGTGAACAGAGCCTGGGACCTTCTGAACACAAAACCAAAGGCACGTGAGGTTCTGCTCTAAAACAGAATTGCTTCTTAAAATGGAGACTGGAGACAATGAACAGAATGTTTATCTCATTGCTACGTATGGCTGCTTGATTTTCAGTTTTTTACCAGGGGATTCTTTACATAGAACACACCTAATTATGGTCTTAGTTTACATCAGTTACATCTCAGGTGACATCGAGTTATGCGATATGCCAGCCATCCCAGACTCGCCTGTGACAGGGTTTGTGCTGAAAGCAGCACAGCTCACGAGCTCTGGTGGCTTATTCTGAGCTGAACACCTGGATTTCACAGTTGTGACATGACACTTCCCACTGCACAAGAGCCGACATCGGTAATTAGCTGTAACAGCACCTTACCTGCAGCATCAGGTGAAGATTAGTTACTTTCTGTGCAGACCACCCACAGTTGTCATCTCCAACCTCAAACCAAGGCTTCATACGCTGAATGTATGAACCTTCCTTGAAGAAATTCTGATTGGAATTATTGTTCTTCAACAAGTTTTGCAACAGGATGAGACAGTCTTCCACCACTATACCTGATGAGATGAAGTATCAAAAGGTGAATCAAAATACACCAGATGGAAACAAATTAGCTTGTCCATACACTGAGGATATTCTAGATGGAACAGAGCGCGCATTTCTGAACTCTTCCTTCTTAACACACATCAGGCTTGGATCAATAACTAGGAACTGGTTTTCTATTACAAGTACAAAGCAAATTCCCAAAACATGTACAGCTCATACCAGTTAAGTGGGTAAATGGGAAAAACTGCAAACAAAACCTGACCATCACTGTGTGTCCCAAAGTTCACCTGTTCCAGAATCAGACTACACTGTCCCTGTGAAATGTACTGGAAGTTCCTCCTGAACTCCATTGTGATTCCAAGGCAGCACCTCCTCCTGGCTCACATATTCATTCTCTACAATTACTGGCTACCATCTTCAACTTACATCTAATCTACTTTTTAGTTTTCCAATTACACTCAGATAAAGGTTCCTCTTATCAGAGGAACAGATAAGTAGCAAGGGGGAAGGCAGAGATGTCTCAGCACATCGGAATTTACATAACAAGTTTCCTAAAAATATTAACTGCCTAAAATAGCACCTTTAAATCAAAGGTTTGCTGAACACTTCCATGCCAGCATATCTGTAATAATACAGCTGGGAGAGAAGCAGTAACTGCTCTTGCAGCCCACAGAAAGGTCATGGAACAGCAACCTGCCATACTACTGAAATAGACTGTAGTAAAGGTATCACATATTGCTAGTAAAAAAAAAAATAAAATAATCAAGCCCTCAAGTGCTGCATTGTTCTTGGCTCCTTGTTAAAAGTCTTTTCTCTTCCCAACAGGTGACTGACTCCTCAAGAAGCTGACCAAAACTGAAGTTGTTGGTGCAGCTGAAAGAACTCAGCAAGCTGTTACTTCCAGCCACTCCAAGCATCCAAGGACCTCGTGGGAAGAAGGCAGGTGCTTAGCTTGGTAAGTGACAAATGCAGCACAGGCATCTGACACTGCCATTCCAAGCAAATAAATCCACAGGCCCAGGTCAAGCAGGAACACCCTAACTCCTGCACACACACTCAGAGAAGTGACCTGATGTTTTAACCAAATACACCAGCTTGTCAAAAGACACTGAAACACAGCTACCTGGATAATGATGGTTTCACTTATTTTGTTAGAACCAGTCTGTAAATTGTGATCCTTTTACCCCCCTGACCAAGCTCCAACCACCCACTAAGGTAAGCCTGGAAACATCAGCTCACAGTTGCAGAAGCACAAGGCTAAGTCTTAGAGTTCACTGTACCTCCATCGCTGTTTCCTTCCTCTGTTATGATATCCAGAAGTCTCTCAAAGGCATTTTCAAAGGCAACAATCTTCTGTATGGCTGCATTACTTTTGGTCAACTGCTGTAACAACAGGACTCCCTTGACAGGAGGAGAAGAAAATAAATCAAACGTGGGTTTTAGTAGAAGTCCATTGTTTTTCACAAGTCCCAGCTCCTGGGAGGATGCTGACACGGCAGCCCAAGCCTCTGGCAGGATGACAGGCACAGCCCCACGCCCTGCAGCTCAGCACATGCACACCCCCCATGGACAGCAGGCTCAGAGGATGCCCAGTGGCCCTGCAGAAGCCCTGCACTTACATCATTGCGGATAACCTCCCTGGAGTCTGCTAGCAAGTCCATGAGGCGGGAAACACCTGCAAGAAACAGATTTTTTTAAAAATACACACAAAAAAAGAGCAGCTTTCTCATGCTGGAGCTCTTTAAAACATCTTGCTCAAGACTCTTCTAGGTCTATGCCATGTCTGCTGAGCATCAAGCTCCAAGTGTATCAGCAATGGATTCAGACACTCACCCATGGGGCTGACCAGAATGATCTGCTGCACTTGAGGCCCTTGCTGCTTTAAGAGAGATGTCAGCAGCTTCACTCCAGGCCAACGAACATGGAAATCAAATTCCTGAAAGGATGAAAAGGAGCATGTTAGGTAACAAACTCCTCAGTATTTAAATTAGATACACTGACAGTTCCTTAATAGTGCTCCAAGCATGACATAGATTCCACACAGGAAAAGTAGAATATCATGCTATTTACTGAAGTTGGACTACAAAGGAAAGGAAAAAAAGAAGAGAGTATTGTGTTGTTGTCGTCTCTCTCAAGCACAATCATATGCTTAGTTTGGGAACAAAATATTTTAACAGCTCCAGGTAAAAAGGCAGTCCATGAGGACAAAACCATTGGAAAATGAGTCAAATATCACGCTGCTGGAAAGCAGTCATCCTTTCCACTTCAACTACACCCCAGACATAACTGTCTCTTCATGATTTAATGATCATCTAAAAAGTAATCCTTGTACAAGGGACAACCACTGCTGTTTGGGGAACAATAATCTTTATTCATTCTAATGAAGCAACTAAACCCCTTTCTCAAGTAACAGGATGAGAGAACATGGGGAAGTTTAGAATAGCTATTCAGGGAAATCGCCAAAGGTGGTTGGGCATTCCAAAGACTGCCCAGAGCAGCGGTGGAGCCCTTCCTAAAGTGTTCAGGAATCGTGGATGTGGCACTTTGGGATATAGCTTAGCAGTGAACATGGTGGTGCTGGGTTAACAGTTGGATTCTATGATCCTGGAGGCATTTTCCAACCAAAACGTTCTGTGATTCTCTTCCATGCTCCCCTGCTTTAAAAGCTGCAACAATGCTGTTCATCCAGGTCAGTCCTGATTCACCTCCAGCCCCACCTTCACTGGCTGCTGGCACACCTCAGCCCTGACACCAGCTTCACGAGGACAAAACCACAGCTCTCTTCATCAGGTAAAGCACCACCCATCTCTCAGCAGCCTGAACATGACACAGTTACTCACCTCCACCAGAGTCAACAGCAGAGTGACATTTTCTTGCTGTTTAATGAAAATCTCTGTGAACTGACTCCCCAAATCATCAACTTGTTTTGCTGAGTTTTCCTCTGTAACAGCAAAAAACAACATATTGCAACGCAACTGGAACAACTTCAGCAGCTGTGATTTTTATTCTTACTAAAATAAGGCCATGGGTGACCATAAAATTGTGAGTCACTGTTATAAATGTTAACTGAATTATTTTCAAAACAAACACCAAAACAAGCTTTTAACAAAACAAAAATCCTACATTATTCTAAATATAACTTTCCAATCTCAGCAGTTACATCCCCATATTGCTCCACTAATCCCTACTCATGCAGGGTACCCCTCATGAGTACCCTACACTGATGGGCAAAAACAAAGTACATGCCACACCAAGAGCCTTGAAGGGTACGGAATATAAATAATCTAAAGCTAATTGCCCCAAATATCTTAATTAGTCTATTTGGTTTAGCAATAGAAAAAGACCTAAACATCAGCAAGGGAAAAGAATCACACAGACAAGCATCAAAACTGCTCACTCTTGGAATCTGAATTGATTTCAAACATGCCAAAATTGAGGGCTATTCTATTCTTCACCCTACAGTTAAATAGAATGGGGGTAGCACTTTGTCTTACCAAATTATTTAATGCATCACTGTTGCATGAACAAAAAACAAATGCTAAAGTATCCCATGCAAGCAACATATCTGCACCACTGCTATTTTTCTAGGCTGAGTGACAATATACATAATTGTTCCACAAAACAGTGGTCTGTAGGTACTACTGGTTGGGATAATTAAGGAATGGCAGCTGAAAAACTGAGCAGAAGCAACTCTAATTCAAAGGGAAAGTGTTGGTTTTAATAGAAATAAACAGTAAAGCAAGTAAATTTCTGACTTTGGATTTTCTCCTCCAAAAACCACTCTGCGCTAAATTTCTAGCTGCAGAAATTACAACACATTACAAGAAAAGTTAAAAGGGAAGACAGTTTGCACACAAAACTATGTGAAAAACAGCTCTAGCTCTGCCACGTAGCACCTAACAGGACAGAGTGCCACTGTGACTTCTCTGAAGCTGAGGGGCTTACCAAGTCTAGGCCTGACATATATTAATTAACAAAAACGAAGATTAACAGCTCCACACAAGTTCAGCTTCTGGGCTTGCTGCTGTAGAATAAAAGGCAACTTAGCTGGGAATCAGTCACACATGGATTGCACATCCTGTAGCTGGCTGCAGGCCGAGGAGAGAGAACCCAGAAAACCTAAACATTTGACTATCAAAATTAAGTCAAAATACTTGACTTAGACTTTTCCATGAGCTGTGACTGAACAGCCTTGTCCCACCCTCAGCTGCAAACAGCAAGTATTTAAACTCTTACTGCCAACTGTTGCCCTTGCACAAGCTCCAGGTGCCAAGGCAACACCTGAGCAGCATACACAACTCGCACAGCCTCTCTAAGGCTGTAGTTGGTTTTTCTTACCCTAGCCCAGTATTCTCCTATGAAAGGGCCAAATCACATTTTTCTGTTCAAGTATTTCTTCTACTACATTTAATAAAAAACCCATCAGGCAAAGGGAAACACTATTTTCCACTTACACTAGAGATCTTGCAACCAGCCTCCCACCCATAATTGTTCCTTAAACCTACACATTCCCAGGACTATCTCAAATCAAACCAACAGCTTCCATCCAGTAAAATCAGATCAATTCACTACCAAGCAGCACTGCAGACTAGAATTTAATTTAATAAAATCAGTTTCAAAAAGAGAACATGCAAAGCATTAGTGGCAACCTAGGGTAGAAGTGAATACTGTGAATATTTTAACATGCATTGCTTAAAAGAGACACTGTGAAGGATGCTCACGTGCAGCTGATGCACTGGTGTCCAGCTTCAGGGCTTCTTGCAAACAGAAACTTTGGTCCCTTAGAATCCTACCAGTTTGGGGCTGCACACCTTGGACATCCTTATCAAGAATTTACCATTACTGCACTCTCTGGGAATCTGCTGGCCTTCAACATGCCAAATCACAGGAGAAGTCAAATTGGAAACACACTGGAGCTCCCAAGAGTAAGGTTAGAGCAGAAGGCAAAATGCTTTCCCTGAGCTCCAGTGCAAGTTTCTACAGTGTCCTTTTTAAACAGCAGCAAGTGTTACCAGCAGGAGTAGTGACTAGAGCTAAAACAAAGTGCCATATTTATATAAGTAAAGGTTCTTTTACCTTCTGAGTCATCTGTCAGTGCAGATAAAATAAAAAGAAACAAGAGACAGGTTTACCAGTTGAACAGCTTTCCATACAGCACAACCAATTACAGCATAAGCTCAGGTTTGCAAAGCAGCCATCCCAGCTTCCTATAGCAGCTGGACTCCTGTGGGAAGTTCTGATGGAAGGGGTCAAACCGAAGCATCCCATAACCCTTACAGCCCTGGTCATCTCTCACACACAACTCCAGCTGGACAGTTCTTGGCTCTCTGGAAAAACTTCACAACACTTTTGTCCAGTCCATGATCAAGGCCTCTACCACAAGCATGAATTCACCAGCACTAGGAAACTCTGATCTTGTTCTAAACCTTTTTAATCAAGACAGGGAACTGGAAGAACATGGAAAAGAAAGCCAGAGAAACCAAGCACAATTTGAAACGTGGTTTAGAGTAACATTCATTGGCCTTGGAGACCGGTTTAATGGCCTTCAAAAATCAAACAGGTAGGAGTGGCATGGATTTTTCACAGCCCAGCTGTACAAAGACAAGTAGAATCTTTCCAAGTCTCTCTATCCACTACCACAGCAGGGTTGAAAAAGGTTTTCACACTTCTAATGTGGCACCTTATCCCAGGTACCTGAGATGTTATATCTCAAAATCCTTGTTAAATCATGAGATGGTAATGTCTCATTTGACAGTAACAGCCAGAACTATCCTTTCCCAACAGCAAAGAAGGACTTGACTCCTGACTTACAAACTAGAAAAAAAGTTCCCCATTCCAACCTGGCTCCTGTTCAGAGAACTAAGATTTTTTTAATTAATAAGCAAGAGAGCCAGTGTTACTTCTATGCAAGCTGCATCCAAGATCTTTAGCATTGTCCCAAGAGTTACACACAATAACAAAGCAGGTCTAGGTGAGCATTAGTAAATCACAATATTACAGCTGATAACTTGAACAAAGCACCAAGGAAAGCAATGCCACAGTTAATACAACTATTACTACCAAGTGCTTACCTTGCTCCTCCTCTTCCAGGTCATTCGATATAACATTGTAGAGTGTGTCCAAAGCATAGCCAATTATTTCAGAATCTGAACTGCAAATGAAAGAACCACTTTTCTTTAATGACTTATTTCCAACTACTCTTACAACATTGCTCTTCTGCCCAGGCAGTTGCCTTGGCAGCACTAGGCCAAGTAAGGAGCACAGATTTATTGGAGTACCACATAACCATGAGCTATCTGCTACCTGAACAGAGTCAAACTCCTTTTCCCAGTTCCATTCCCTCAGGTGAGCCTCAGGAAGTCTGGTGAAACCAGATGACCACAGGTCTTTTCACTGTAGGTGTGTCTTTAATTTCCGAGTCACTCCCTCCAGCAGGGAGGGACAGGACAAGTCACTGTCCCAGCAGAAATCCCTAGAAATACTTCAGACTTGCCAGAAGATCAGCCGGTGAAGATGCAGACAAGCTTCAGCACTTCCCAGGTGGGACCCTACCTGCTACACTGTCAGGCAGAACCAGAGCCAGACCTCAGAGCTCCAGGGGAACGCAGCAGCTGCTGTGGATTCTGACAAACAGGTGGCCTCTGTGTCACCAAACTTAATTATTACAGGCTTTTGAACTCCAGCATCCCCAGGAAGCTGCAGGGAAGCCTGAAGCATTAGTTCACCTGCTCACACCCAAACCCTTCTCTCAGGAAAGACCTGTTTCCTCTGCATTACCGAGGCTGAACCATCTGTAAAACCTATGCTACAGCCAAGACAGCTCAAAAGTTTATGGGGCAAAATATAACTATATCATCATTTCTGCTACTTGCTTTCTTGCTCTTAAAGCAAAACAGAATGAAAGCAGTTGGTTAAAAAAAAAGAAGGAAAACAAAACATAAAACCACAGAGAAAGGCATATCCAAGTGCATAAGGACAGCTCACAGCATTTTCGTTACTCTGTCAAGCATCTAAAAAGAAGACTGTCAAAAAAAACCCTCTCACTCCAGCTTATAAGTATTTACTCTCACTGATCTCCAAGGCATTCCAAGAAAGGTCTCCACACCAGAGATAAATTTGCATTTCATGAGGCTGCTAGGCCAGTTTAGAGCAGAGGCCTGAACAACCACCTAACCTTGTACTCCACGGAGGCAGACTCATCTTGCAGGTATGACCACGTCTCCAGCTGCTCATGCTTGCCCTTTACCGTCATTTTTGCTCTTGAACACACTACCACAAAGTCTACGCTTCCCTTTTCATAGAAAAGAAACAGATCCACATCTAAAAACACACAGAAAGTCTTCCTTGGAAACTTGAAAAGCAAGGCTGCAGCTTGGTGGGTTCTTTTCCATCCTTTGATAGGGAAATTACAGCAGCTCCAAATGAAAAAACACATTAAATGTAAAAGCAGGCCTTGTTTCTCCAGTTGAAAGACAAGACATCACAAAATGAGGACAGCAGCATCCCACCTCTGCTGTTCACTGCCTTGCCACCCGCTGCAGTTCAGCACATCCCACATCTCACTGATTATTCTGCTCATGCTGAACTGTCCAGCTTGTTGTGTACAGTAAAAGCCATTCAAGAAAAGACTTCTCAGGCATCCCTAAGAGGCAGCCTTTGTGCAAGGCAACAATCCAGCACAAGGCACCTCAGCCAACCTGCCTCTACTAGTGGTGATGTTCCACAGCACCCAAACGATTCCAGGGACCCCCAAGTTCACCAAAACCAGCAGAGCAGAATCATGTGGAAGTGAAGGCACCTGTGCATGGACTGTCCTGCACATGGATATCCCAGGTTTGTGCCTTAGGGAAAAAAAAAAGGCCATCTCTTAGGTCCACATACTAAGCTCCAAATTCTTTCAAGTCCTTCAATTGTCACACTGAAATTCAAAAACCTTTTAATATATGTAGAAACAAAGCAGTTAAGGATCAAGTTGACTTCTCACTCCAGTGCCTTCTCCCACACCAACAGCTGAGTGGTATTGCCCCGTTCTACAGTCAACTGCCAAATTTTATTCAAAATAATCCCTGGTGGGATGTAGCAACATCTCAACAACAAGTCAGTAGAAGTCCTCTACCAGATCACTATTCCATATCACTAAATAAACACATAGCATAAGAATTCTAGTGTATGTAAGTCTGGAACATGTAAAAGTTGACTCAGGCTCCAGGATGCCCAATTCACAGAACTGGAAAACTTAAAAGAAATCAATTTTCTACAAAACAAGTTTTAAGCCCTTGAGCAGGAGACAGAGCTTCAGACAACCTACAAGTAAATTGTTTAGCAAGTGGAATGATGTCTTCCACTTAAGAAGTAGCATGTTGCTGTTTCAGGGTAAAGGCTGTAACTAATTCACAGCAAGACCCCAAGACCTAAGGAACTGAGAACTGGGCACAGGCAGCATTTATATTTTTCTAATCAAATTAAACCTGCCATCATCTTCACAGCAACACATGCAATGGGCCACAAGCCAGCACGTGCCAACACAGCGACATGTGAGAAGACAACTACAGTCATTCATTGGCCTCTCTTCTTAAGCAGCTGCAGGGCAAAAAAAAAATCCAACAGGTGGAAAAGAGCATTTTCCACTTTTGTATAAAGCTTCAGGGCACTTCAGGTGGACACTGGAAAGGTTCAAAAATCAGACCTGTGGGCCCACACCAAAATAGCAGCCTCCCATCACACTAGGCTTTGGGGACAGCTGAGCCTGTGACTCACTTAACCACTAAATCAGTTCAACTGGTTTTGATTTCATTGAAAGAGTCCAGGAAACCTCATCCTCTACCATTACTGACACCAAACAGTAACGCAAACTCCAGCGTGTAACAACTGCTATGATCACACACAACTCTTTCTCCAAGGAGCCACAGCAACCAACACTTGGCCCAGCTCATGTGCTGGCCCACCAAACAAGAAATAGCAAATTACTCTAGCAACATCTTGTCAGAGCAACATGTTTTCTTCAGCTGAAAACCCCAAAAAAACCCCACGTATTTATTATTTTCTTTCCACTGCAGCCTGAGTCACACAAGATGAGTGCAGAACCGCAGCACCCACAATTTCCAAAGGATCAACTGGAGCCCAAAAAGCACTGCAAAGCCTCAAGTTCCTGCCCTAAAGGGTTCAGGTTGCCTTCTCAACTGGATCAGCAGAGCCCCGCCTCCCTTCTCAAAGTTCAAATCTGCCCTCAGAGCACATAAGTGGATGAAAGTAGGCTCCTTAACCTAGTTTTTTTAAGGGCTTCCCCTTCACATCCATGACAGTTACTCCTACAACCTTCCCTTTCACTCTTTGCACCAGGTCAGACATTCAGTTTTAACTACCCAGCCCACAGAATAGGAATAACATGCACTTGCCTAGCCAGAAGCCTCAGACCTTTTTCCCAGCTGGCATAACTGGCCAGGCAAGAAAGGCCTCAATCAGCAGTTTCCAGTCCTGTATCCATAACTGGGGCAGGAGGCCTCCTGGTAGACACTGAACTGCAGCTTTCCCAATTCTCCTCAGTACCAGCATCAAAGGACATGCTCCTCCTTCCAGTCTATGCCCATCCAGGTATTCCACAGGCTCATGACTGTCTTACAAAGTGACCAGCTTGAGATTCAAGTCCAGACTGAATGACTATATCCCCTTACGGTTGCCTACCTAAATACCAAGTATGTGTAGTAATTTGAAGCTGAAATGCAAGGACTGCAAACAGGTTCCATGGTACAACATGTGGGCACTGTCAGGTACAGCAGTGATTGCAAGGATGGATAACAAAGACATTCCAAGCACTGGATTGCATGAGTATTACATTGCAGACTCGTGCCATCTGCCTCAGCAGCAGCCTTGGAGCCCTGCTCTCCTGTTTGCCTGAACCCAACTTATTTTTAACGTGCATGAGCAAAAACACACACCCCCCTGCTGACTTCATTCTTTTTCTCTTAATTCTGTCTAGCTCACCTTTTGCCCAGTAACAGCTTGGTCTGGGTTATTCCAAACAGTGTGTTTAGTTAACATGATCTGTTTGGACTCACCTCTCTGCAGTAGTGGAAAGATAGCCCTGAGAAGCATTAAGACATACTTTGGTAGTACCTCCACTCCAGAGCTTGTCTTTCTGTCCCTCATCCTGGTTCCTGGAATTCTTTTTTTTTACCCCGAAATAGGCTCTGAGGACATGTACCAGCACAAAAAGCCAAGGTGGCGGAGGAGCTCTCAGAAACGCAGCTGCCCTCCCAGCTTTGTCCGTACAGTGCACTGGGTCTGCATCTGCTGTGTCAGCGGCAGAGCAGGGTCAGCCCAGCAGCCCAGAGCAGCTGCAGGATGCTTACCGGTCTGTCTGGAGAACGCGGATGAGGTGTTCCATGGCTTGTATGCCGACCTCCAACCGGTATTTCTGTTTGGACAACACACAAAAAAAGTTCACGGTCGAGGCCAAACAGCAAAGAAAGACCGGTTCACAGTACCTGACAGTACGCCGCTACTCAGGAAGTTGGCTACGTACCTTGGATAACGACTTGAGAGCACGGACAGCATCCCTCCGGTCATCCAGCAACGTGGACGAAGCTACGCGGTCACACAGCTTCTGGATCTGGAAGGGGACGTACAACACACGGGATAAGCCAGCGCGGCGCGGCGGCAGGGGGGACTCCCGGCACACGGGAACCGCACGGGAGAGCCGCTCCCTGCCCGCCGAGCCGGCAGCCCGCGGCCCCGAGCGGCACCGGGCACCACCCGGGCCTGTCACCGGCGGCGGCGGCAGGGCGGCCCCGGCCGGGGCTGTCGCGGCCCCCCGGCCCTGCCCCAGCCCGGCCGCGTCCCCCGCTCACCGTGTCGGCTCCCGAGGGCTGCGGGCCGGCGCTGGGGCCGCCCATGACGCCCCGCAAGAAGTTCATGGCGGCTCGGCCCGGCCGGCGCTGCCGCCCCCCCCGCGGAAGCGGCCGCCGCGCCTGCGCTGCCACGTAGCGCGGCCGCGGCCGCGGGCGGGGCCCGGCGCCGCTCGGCCCGGGAGCGCCGCTGCTCCTCCCGGCGGCGATCGGTGCCCACCTCCGGAGCGGAGGTTCGCCCGCAGTGAGCAGCGGAGCCGCAGCGCTGGGGGCATTCACCTGTCTGGGAAGCGAAAAAGGGCACAACTCGAGCACAGTTCCCTCCCGTGCATCCTCAACCGCCGCTAGGCAAACGCTCAGGCTGGGCATTCAGAAATTGCGTTCACTGCTAATGAAAATCAGCGAGGTGATAGCTACCCTGAGACACAAGTAGAAAATGTCCAAACACTTTTGAAACCGAGCCACCTCAGTGAGAATCAAACTCAAACTCTTACCTAGATAAGGCTGGTGGTTCAAGTCCAAGAGCACCACGAAGTTCTAAATTACTTCCAGATGCTGAATGCCCCCGTTGGATGCTACTGCAACATATTTGGGATTCCTGCTGAGGAGCATCAAACCCTTCACGCACTGCACCCACATACCAGCTTCCAGCCTAATGCTCCTTCCTGATGGTTTCTGGTAGGGTTTGACAGTGTTTAGTTTTCTACGTATGCAATCAAAGCAATTTTAATTGCAACCACAGCACAGAAAGGGCCAATGCCATCAGTTCCAAAAACGAGTTCACTTCCTTCCAGGGAGACCCCTCTCACATGACAGTCTAAATCAAGAGCTTCGAGGATTTTATTTTCCTTATCAAGTATAGAAGGAAATGAACCATCCAGCACATGGCCCAGAGGGTTTTCACCTTCTTGGGCAACAAAGAACTACTCAGTGAGGCTTGGTCACCAAAATGATGAGGCGGTTATAGCAACCATAGCCATGTCAGCACTTTCCTGATGCAGAGGAGGGCATCTCCAGCCTGCAGTCACCACACAGCCCCAGCTGTGCTGCAGCCTTGCTGAGCACAGTCATGCATACCCGGGCTGTGCATTCCTGAATGCTTCTCTCCCCCTCTCTCCCGCCTGCCCAGCAGCATGCCAAAGCTACAAAACCCAGCCAGAGCTCACTCACAACAGCCCTATCTTGTAAAGGTCCAGATCCTCCTACCCCTCATTCCCCACCAGCTGCAAAACAAGCCAGAGAAAAAGAAAAAAACCTCCTTCTACCAAACCAAAGATTTTGAGAGATTGAAAGGTGAGGAAAGATTCACCCTCTTCCCCACAGTGAGGATCCAAGGCCCATTCTGGGCCAGTGCAGATGCACAGCAGAACTCACCTGACACGTTCAAGTTGGTGTAATAAGATTCTGGTCATTGGCAGAAAAACATGCAACAACCAACACCAAGTTCTTCCACAAACCAAAATTTATTTCAGTATTTCCACCCTCACATAGACAACCACAACAAACAAAGTGAGTTGCTTCCAAAAGATGTGTCTGACACACCCAAACTGTCCTCTTGGAAACTCAATATACTCCAAGGGGCAAATTCTGTCCCCCAGTAAAGGAGCTACCTGACAATATACCTGCAATCATGGATAGTTTTTTACTTCAACATAAATAGAAAATGTTTCTGTTTCAACGAGAAGCTGTAAACCTCTAACGGAGCAATGTAGGGGGGCACAGCTCTCCGCAGACCCCTGTTGTATCCCAACGCCAGACACCTCCGTCCAAGCGACACAGCTCCGGCAGGCAGCACCAGGAGGAACCAAGCTCTCCCGGCCACGCTCCACGATAGACGCCGGCGGTAAGGGCTGGAGCTAAGGCGGGAGAAAGAGCGAGGCCGACCCGACCGTACCCGCCGCTCGGCATCCATCGTGTCCCGCCTCCCTCCCGGGATAAACGCGCCTGGCTGCCGCCTGACGTCATCGCGCCGCCCGGTGCTGATTGGCGGAGAGCGCCGGGGGACGCCCCGCCTTTCCCCTGGCTGCCCCGCCCATCCCCGGCTGTGCGCAGGCGCACGCAGCACGCACGGGAGCCGCGGCCGCCCTCCCTCCCTCCTTCCCTCCCCCGCCCGCCCGGCTGTGACACCGCCGCCGCCGCCGCCGCCGCCGCGCCCCGCTCGCCCTGTGCTGCCCGCGCCGCGGGACGCGCCGCCCGAGGGACACGCTCGCCGCGCCCGGCTCCGCGCAGCTCCCGGCGGCGTGGGCGAAGACGCGCCGCGGCCCCGCGCACCGAGACTTTTGTCCCTTAGGTGAGCGGCGTGGGGGGCGGGGGGCAGGGTAGGCCCCGGCGCGGGCTCTGTTTGTGTGAGGGGGGGCGGCCGCTGAGGGCGCTGAGGGCGCTGAGCGGGGCAGCGCCCCGGGTCCCGGCTTTGCCCTTCGCTGCCCGCCCCGGCCGCTGGCTCCCGGCTCGGCTCGCAGCGCGGGGGGGCGGCTTTTGTTCGCCGTCACCTTGGCGGCTCTTCCGCCTCGCCCCGGGCGGCGCGGGGAGGCCGGGGAAAAGCGCCCCCAGGCCCCGCGGTGCTCGATGCTGGCTGCGGTGTTGGGCCCTGCGGTCGCCGCTTCCCGTCCCACTTCATGGATCGATCCCTGTGCAGGGGCCTCCAGAGGTACGTGGGCTTCGGCATGGGCAGGGTGATGCTGCGCCGGCCTCGAGCGTGCTGCCGAAGCTCTCTCAGCTCCCCATCCTCGGTTCAGCGGGCCCCTCTGCTCTCCTAGAAGTTAGTACAGCCGTGGTAACCTGGCTATAAGGGCTGCCCCAGCTCTGCAGACCTCGCCTTTCTGCGCTTCCCCTTTCTTCAGTCGTAACCTGGGCTACTCTGTTTGCACACGGAGTGATATTGCAGAAGTTGTGAGCACCTTTTATTCTGCAGAGCTGGATACCTTGAGTAGATCTTTTCTGAGCTGCTCTCATTTGTCACCTGAGTTGAGCTCATTGAGTTCTCAGGCTTCTGCCTCCCTTCTCCTCGGAGGTCACTGCAGTTGCAGTGTGGGTGCCCAGGAGCATCTCCACAACAAATGTTTTAAATCCCTTGGGTAGCTGGGTGAGCCTGGATCTTGAGCTTGGTTCCAGGTGCCACTGCATAAAAGGACTATCACAGGAGAGAATGAGATGATATGACATTATTGTTTCATTTCAAGCAGAAAGTCTTGGTTAGTCATGTGGACATTGTTACTTTGGCCTTCCATTCTGGTTTGGCAACTCTGAAGCCCTCTGTATGTTCTTCAGTTCGGTGTGCAAATGAACTACTTTCCTGCAGAAAGAAGTGTAAAGATGCCCAAGGTATTTTGAAACAGTTGGGAAATAGGGGAAGTTGTAACAATCTATACCCAATTTCTGAATGTAATGTGGCTCTGTTACTGTAGCACTGCAAGTGAGTATAGGATTTGTCAGTTTGGATTGTGAGCTGAGAAGTGGTTCCTGACCAAGTGGTGTTGCTTTATCTCCATCATTGACTTCTCGTGCAGGGGGCATTCTGCGTCCATTGTGGGTGTGGGTACAGGGCCATGCCTCCCCTAGGAAACCTTGTCATTCTGAAGGATTCCTTCTTGTGAGCCCTGGTTGCTTGGATGTCAGAAACATAATCTTGGTTTGCCATTGGAAGTGTTCTTACAGTTATCTGCTTGGCAGATGTGGGGTTAGAGTGTGAAATTATGAGCTGTATTTGGTGATTTTTTTCATTAGGAATGGAAAATCTTTTCTCTGAAAACTAGCATTAACTGAAGAGAAAATCAAATGTCCATCATCCAGGTAACTGTTTTCCTTTATGGAACTGAGGATTCAATTTAAACATCTCTTCTTACGCTTAAGATTATTTCACAGCACTGAAAACACAGTGGGGAATCACTGTACCTTAAGAGGCTCAATGTTGGATTTGTGTCTTCTGCTGTAGTACTTGTGGTGCTGGATGTCGCTGCTTTTGAGATCATTTAACAAATAAAGAGCTGTGTTTCAACTCAAGTAACATGAAAAGATGGGTATGTCAGACTAATAGATGGAGAAAGGCTCCGAATGGATAGTGACACTGAGGTGGAATGGCTCTCCCAGAGCAGATCACTGTTGTTACTGCTCTTTGGGCGCGTGTTGGCCCTTTTGGACTGCACAGCTAAATTGCCCAGAGGATGGTCCCCTATGGCAGCCGTGTGCCTAAGATACAGGGTGCTGTTAAACCTCTCCCAAAAAACCCCAACCACAAACCAAAACTAAAGCAAGCTCTCAGGAGAGCTTGCTTTGAAAGAACTGTGTGCTGTGCCTTCGAGCTCAGCCAGTTGAGGATGTAACACACAGGTAAAGGAGATCATAAAGTAAAGGCATTCTGATACATTTCACATGTATCAGAATGGTTGCTGGTGTTTGCTGCAGAATGAGGATGCTCTGAGTCCTGACCTTTCTGAACACGACAGAGGGATGGTCGTGTTAATACTAGTGTGTTGTCTGGGACTTGTGTTGCCCTTTCAGGATGTTTCTCCTTGCAGTTGGTGCTGCTTTGCCTGTCGATGGGGTACCCACGGGGTTCTGCAGGGCAAGCTGTGGCTGCTCACGCCATGTGCGCCGCTGATGGCTTCTCAGAGTCGTGCTTATGGATTGCTAACTTGTGGATATACAAACAAGCCATGCTGTTGCAGATTTATGGAAAGTAATAGCTTGATGTCTGTGTGCCTATAGTTACGGACAAATTGTTCCATGGTTGACTTGTTCAGAGGATGAAATTTGCTTGTCAATAGAACAAAATGTTATTTGCCTTTAGTTTTTTATTAAAACAACTGGTGAGGCCCACAACTCCCTTGCCAAGCTTAGAGGTTTCTCTTGATGGAGGTTATGTTCAAGTTCAGGTAGCTTTCTTCAGCTACTGTCAGAATTCAGTTCAGCCTTGTTCTGGTTTGTTTGGTTTTTGTTTCTTTTTTCCCAGGTAGAATTGATGAAACATCCAGGCCACTTCACTGTTGTTGGTTTGTCTTGAAACAGGATAAAAGTGGCTTTGGAATACCTCTTTTGGCACAACCAAAGACTTTGTGCCAAAGTTTGTTCTTTGGATACCTAAATTTGAGCATGTAGGCCACCATTCTGTAGCTCAGTTGTGGCCTCAGGTAACAGTGCTTTG